TTATTTAGGTTCCTATTTTTCTCGGTGATTAGGATCTCCAGGGTCTCACTCCAAAACTCCACCCTCTCCAAAGAAGTCGCGTCCTCGGTATCCAAGGAAACCACGCAGTCCTGCCCACCTTGCTCCCTCCGCGCTTTCCATTGGCCAGTTGGATTCCCAAGTAGGTTCCACCCCCCTCCCCAAGTCCTCCAATGGCTAATGGGCTTCAGGCAAAGAGCGCGCGTCTTCTGAGTTCGGGTAACACCTGCTCTTACTACCCTTTCTACCCTGCGCATTGCCTCTTGGGATATGTAGTTTCCAAACCTCCCGGAGCCCACGACCTTTCGTTCCCGTTAGAACTACCTATCCCATGCGCCTTTGCGAAAGGGGCGGGCGCGGGCGAGGAGTCCAGGTCGGAGGGGATACTTACACAGCTTTGAAATTCCAACTTGCCGTAGAGGCGTGCGCGGCTGAGGTTTAAATTGCCGAAGAAAGTGAGCAGTTTTGCTTCAGCAAATCTTCGCAAACGTCTCCCTTTTGACTTGAGCCGGTGCCGTGGTCAAGTAGACTGGCCGTGGCGAGACTGGCCTACGGCTGAGGTGATTTGGGGGAGCGCGAGAGGGGCGCGCCATGTTCCCCCCCAGCTCGGGCTGGGGGTTCGGCTGCCTCCGGCTCAGCCAGCTCCGAGTTGGGGCCGGCGGAGCTGCCCGGCCCTGGGCGTGTCGGGCTGGCCCGGCCCGGCGGTACCGCTCTGGTGGAGGCGAGCGCCAGCCCCGGTCCGAGCCCGCGGTCTCTCCGCCAGGCCTCGCGCACCAGACTCTGAAGGAGTGGGCGCTGCTGGTGAGCCCCTTCGGTCGGCTGCGGGCGCGGCTTCCGTGTCATTTGGCCGTAAGGCCCCTGGACCCCCTCACCTACCCAGACGGCGACCGCGTGCTGGTCGCTGTGAGAGCAGCGGAGGGCGGGGCACGGGACCTGGCGGGCCTGCAGGTGAAGTACGACGAGGCGCTGAAGGAGGTAGCCATCGTGTCCGACACCATCGACCCCCAGGCATCCGTGGAGGTGAACGCGCCCCTGAAGTTTGGCAAGTGAAGTGAAAACGGGTTTGGGTCCCAGGGCACAGCCAGCGAACTTCTGAAATTAAGCAGATGTGCACTTTTAATTGGTCCCTTTGGATCTGACTTCCTAACCTAATTTAGTTGCCCCCCGCCTCGGAACCTGCTTCTTTTTTTTTTTTCTGTTCTACTTTGAGCTTCCTAGTGAAAGTTAGACATCAGGTTCCCAATGATAGAAATTTTATAAATCCAATGGAAACATCATTTGGAATAATCTAAGTCAACTGTTATTTGTGGAACCCTTATGTTCTCCTTTGGCACGTAGCTCCTATTTTTCTGTCACTGCACTTTGTCAATAGAAAAGTGGTTTGTTTTTCGGGGTTGAAGCTTCTTGATAATCCATTCAGTGGTATGGCAGTCTATTCACATTTCCCCTTGCCTATACACAGCCTGGGGTCTGTTCCAAAACAGCTCTGTCTGTAGGATGTACCAAATCTAACCTGGACCAAGTGTTCTGTTTCACATAGGCACCCGGCTTCTTACTGATGTATCTCCCTTGTAAATTTTCCGTGAGTAGCAGTCTTTGAAAAAACAAAAACACAAACACATGGTAAAACTGCTCGTGGGGACCCGTTGACAACGCCTGCAGTGTTCTGGGTATTTGGGTTCCATAACAATTATCAAATGCAAGCCAGTGTGTACACAGCATTTTTCTAGGAAAGTCTCCCCAGGCTCTCCTTCCTGGGACTGAAGGATGATACTAATGATGATCGTCATAGCAGCTAACGCTTCTTTTCTTTTTTTTAAAGGTTTTATTTATTTGTCAGAGCGACAGAGAGAACACAAGCAGGGGAAGCGGCAGGCAGAGGGAGAACAAGGAGCCCAATGCGGGGCTCGATCCTAGGAGCCTGGGATCATGGCCTGAGCTGAAGGCAGGCGCTTAAACCGCTGAGCCACCTAGGCGTCCCAGCAGCTAATACTTTTAAGATAATCTTTTCGAATCCTTACAATCTACATCAAGTAGATATTGTTATTGGCACTGTTTCACATAAGGAAAGTGAGATACAGCAAGTTTCATGAAATAAGTATTTATTGTGGGCGAACAAATCCATGCCTTCATGAAACTTACATTCTAATGGGGAGTAGATCAAAAAATATGCCTATTCTCTCTCAGGTATAAAGCGGTGGAGCTGAAATTTGAACTGACTGGAGTCTGCTCAACCACTATGGTTTACTGTTTCTCAACTTCTTTAAACTAGCCTAGATGAATAAGAGACCCTGACCTCAAAATGTAACAGTCTGGGGTGGGGAGGAAGATTTGTCAATATGTTATCATAATAAAAAAATGGACTGAGTATTGAAATAGAGTAAGCAAAATTTTATGGTAACACAGATGAAAATGGCACTCTCTGTGCTGGTGATCTCAAACCTCATTTGTAGATTCCTCTTCTTAGAGCCAGAATCCCATTTCCAATTTACCATTTCTAGGTGTCTATTCCATGAGCTCCTCAAATCAACATAATTCAGTTTTCTTCATATATACTTGTTTCTCCAGTTCTGTGAGTGGGTAAGAGTAGCATTACTGCCACTCAGTGTCTGGGCTTTTCTACCTGTCTAGTGGGGGTAGAGGATATTTATATTTCCTTCTCTACATGTCTATCACCACTGCCTTAGATCAAGGCTGTGTTGTAACACTACTCAACTGGGTAAAAATTAATTACATTTGCATCCATGTAATTCTGGGGTAAAATTATTGGTTTACATATTTTAGATTATTATGACCAAAGTATTGCTGTTTTTAAAACCCTTATAGAGACTGCCATATACAAAACTGTAGAAATTTATTTTTATGCTGTAACTATTAAATTGTGTTAAGCCCCAATAGTTTGTGTGGGGGGTAACAAACACAGATCTACTACTCCTACAATATGCTTTTAATTTATACAAGGTTTGGAAAGCTTTAAATCTTCGTAAATATAAGGGAGAAGAGCCTAACTGGCTTATTCAGTTTACCATAATGACTTTTTAACTTCCTGTAGTCTTACTTGAACGTGTGTGTGTGGGGGTGTGTGTGTGTGTGTGGTGTGTGTGTATTTGTTTTCTCAGTGGGGAAGAGGCTTCTATGATCTTTCCCCGGAATATGTATTAATTGGAGTTTTTCTGCCCTCTTTTACCTTTCTCCTATATTACTTTCTCTCTTTAGATGATATAGGTCAATAGAAATAACTGCTTTATTTCTAAAAGCTAGCAGAAAAGGGCACTACATTTGTCCTGTTGCTGTGGTGGAGACCCCTTAGATGCTGACAACTATGCTCTCTCCAGAGTTCAGTAATATTATGAATGTAACTGAGGAGCTGGATTTCTGGGGGGTACTAAAATGCTTTGGAGCTCATTAGCCATAGTACTAATTTGCTTTTTCTTTTTTCATTTCTAGATTTGAATATCAAGTCATCAGGTTCTGGCTGTGTAAAAATCCAAAATATTGAGTGTGATAATTGCAAAATTGAAACGGAGCAGGGGACTGGCATCTTACAGTCTGTTAAGGTATAAACATTTTCCTAATTGTGTTTAAATCTTGTTTTAAAAAACCTTAAACTTTGAGCTACAGTGTCAAACTAACACTATTATTCTGAGTATCACGTGTTGAGAATATTATTATTTATTCATCTCTCAGATATTTCTGGCAAAAATTTTGTCTTGAAATCAGTTCTGTTTTGAAAGTATAGAGGTTTGTAGCAACTTTGAAGGTTTTCCTCATTTTTATTTTTCCTTAAGATTTCATTTCAAAGTGTACAGTGAAACTAATAATCCATTCTTAGTATTCTAAGATCTTAAGTTAAATTTTAGTGTTTTTTTTTAAGATTTTATTTATCTATTTGACAGAGCGCACACAAGGAGGCAGAGCAGCAGGCAGTGGGAGGGGGAGGTAGAGGGAGAGGGAGAAGCAGGCTCCCCACTGAGCAGGGAGTCCTAATTGATTCGGGGCTTGATCCCAGGACCCCGGGATCATGACCTGGGCCGAAAGCAGACGCTTAACCGACTAAGCCGCCCAGGTACTCCAAAGAAATTTTAGGTTTAACAAATGGTTTTCTTCCATTTATTAGAGTAAGAAAAAGTCTTTAAGCACTACAAATATGCTTAAAATATTCATCATATTTTTAATGTACTAGGTAGCTCATTACTTAAGGATTAAGTAGGTATTTGTGCTAAACAACAAATGATTCATCTTGTTTTGTAATAACACTTTTATATTCAATTTTCTTAAAATTAGATTGATCTCAGCTCTAAATGATTTCAAATACATCTCTGATAGCATCTGGTTTGTCATTACTATTGGTACTTCTTACATTTGCATATTCAAAACACAAAGCTTGTGAACTTTGATGGCATATAACTTTATTGGAGAGAAGTCAGTCACCTGTGCTTCATAATTTTAAAACATTTTCATTTTTATCATAAACACTAATTAGAATGATTGATGCATTTAAAAATTTTTATGTCATTTGTTTCAGTCACTTTTATTTGCTCCCTGCCTTTAGTATCTGTTCACATATGAACGATTTCAAATAAATGTAATTGCACAAATATCACAAAAGATTAAAGAATACTATTATATGTCCTTTTAGCAAAATAAGATGGTTCAGGTTCTTGTAAAAGATACACAATGAAGTCTTCATGTTGATTGACTAACTGGATAAGAATATTCATAGTTCCTTTTTGTCTTTAGAAATATATTGTTCACTCATCTATGCTTGACCTTCAGAAAATTCATCTAGAATATTCTGAAAACTCAGTATCTTATATTTTTAGTTTCATAATCAAAATTAGAAGCTAGATGATACAAAAATGGAAAGTTATATTTGGGATTGGAAGAATTAATATTGTTAAAATATCCTTACTACCCAAAGCAATCTACAGATTCAATGCAATCCCTATCAAAATGCCAATAGCATTTGTTACAGAGCCAGAACAAATAATCCTAAAATTTGTATGGAACCACAAAAGATCTTGAATAGCCAAAGTAATTTTGAGAAAGAAGAACAAAGCTAGAGGTGTCACAATCCCAGATTTCAAGATATACTGCAAAGCTATAATAATCAAAACTGGCACAAAAATAGCCCATAGATAATCGAACAGGATAGAGAACCCAGAAATAAACCCACATCTATATGGTCACATAATCTATGACAAAGGAGGCAAGAATATACAATGGAGAAAAGATAATTTTGTCAGTAAGTGGTGCTGGGAAAATTGGACAGCTACTTGTAAAAGAATCAAACTGGAGTACTTTCTTTCATCATACACAAAAATAAACTCAAAATGGATTAAAGACCTAAATGTGAGACCTGAAACCATAAAACTCCTAGAAGAAAACATAGGAAGTAATCTCTTGGACATCAGCATTAGCAACATATTTATGGATATGTCTCCTCAGACAAGGGAAACAAAAGCAAAAACAAAACAAAACAAAAACAACTATTGGGACTACACAAAATAAAAAGGTTTTGCACAGCAAAGGAAACCATGAATAAAACACCTTTTTTTAGAATGCAAAGTATATTATTTTTAAACTTCTAAATTTGAAAACAAAAGAGCCTAGGTTAAATAATGTAGTTTTCCAAAGCTGAATGTGCTCATTTGGAGCTCAGTTTTCCTGCTTGCAGTGCAAAAACAACTTTCTAAAACTCAGGCAGGAACACTACTGTTGTGATGGTCTCTGTTTGGATGAACTGATAATCTCAGTTGGTAACATCCCTTTTTTCTTTCTTGGTAAGGGTTTAAAAAAAAGAATAGATGCATTTTTCTAGTCTTAACACAGACAATTTCATTCCAGATGTCTCCTGAGAGGCATATACCATATACAGGAATCCATTTTCATCCTTCTCACTTTCATACACATCAGAAATCGGCGTGGACACACTCTCCATGCTGTCTCTTCACTAACAGGAAGAAGGCTTGATTAGTGTTGAGCTGTAAGCACCTTCTAATTATCTTAATGAGCTCACTCATGTTGACATGATCAGGTACAAGGAACTTGGTTTTGTCCAGGACTGGAAGTTGCTTCTCATCCTTGTACTGTTCTAGTGAATGGGAGAAGATATTTGTGAATGATATATTTGCTAAGGGGTTAATATCCAAAATATATAAAGAACTTACACAACTCAACACCTAAAAACCAAAAAATCCAATGGAAAAATGGGCAGAGGACCTGAAAGGACATTTTTCCAAAGAAAACACACAGCCAACAGATACATGAAAAGATACTCAACATCACTAACTGTCAGGGAAATGCAAATCAAAACCATAATGAGATATCACTTCACACTAGTCAGAATGGCTAGTATCAAAAAGACAAGAAATAATAAGTATTTGTGAGGATGTGGAAAATAGGAAACGCTTGTGCACTTGGGAATGTAAATTGGTGCAACCACTGTGAAAAACAGTATGGACATTCCTCAGAAGATTAAGACTAGAAATACCATATGGTCCAGTAATTGCTTTACTAGGTATTTACCCAAAGAAAGCAAAAACACTAATTCAGAAAGATATATGGACCACTATGTTTGTTGCAGCATTATTTACAACAGCCAAGATATGGAAGCAACCCAAGTGTCCATCCACAGATGCATGGATAAATAAGATGTGTGTATACACACACACACTGGAATATTAGACATAAAAAAGAATGAGATCTGCCATTTGTGATAACACGGATGGACCTAGACTAGAGGGTGTTATGCTAAGCGAAATAAGTCAGAGAAAGAGAGATACCATATGATTTCACTCATGTGGAATTTAAGAAACAAAACAAACGAGCCAAGGGAAACAAAAAAATCAAGAAACAGACACTTAACTAAAGAGAACAAACTGATGGTTACCAGTGGGGAGGTCGGTGGGGGGGGTTGGGTGGAATAGGTGATGGGGATTAGAGTACACGTACCATAATGAGCACTGAGTAATGCACAGAATTGTTGACTCACTACAGTAGACACCTGAAACTAATACACTATATGTTAACTATACTGGAATTAAAATAAAAACTTAATAAAAAATATATTACCATTAAAAAATTGATAGTTCTGTGGGTACTGTTCAAATATAAATGTACTCAAAATAATCACAATTAAAAGAGTCTGCAGATTAAAAAAAATTTATAAAATCAGAAGCTACTATCCTACTGTTCATCTCTTTGCTTTTTTCTTTTGATTCATGTGATAATTCTGAGAGATCTTTTTTGGTCATTTTTTTCCTTCTGCCATTATGGGCATAAAAGAAAAAATGGTTTCTCAACTTTGGTACTATTGATATTTTCAACCAGATAATTCTTTGTTGTCACGGGCTGTTTAGCGGCATCCCTGGTCTCTACCTACTAAATTCAAGTAGCGCACTCCTTGGTTATGACAATGAGAAACACCCTCACATTGCCAAATGTTCTCTGGGAGGCAAAATCACCTTTAGATGAGAACTACCATTCTAGGCAAGTCCTTCAATTCTTCTGTTGTCTTACCATTTTTTTTAGCATGGTTGACAGTAATTGATGAATTATGATGAAATAATTCCTAGGATAATGAAATAGCAGAATATTATAAGATGTGAAAAGTAAGAACACTAAGAGCCAATAATGTATTTTAGATTTACAAAAGAGTCCAGTAGATAGATATAGTAATTTTAAGATAGAATGTGTTTTATTCTATTTTTTAAAAGTGAGTAAATTTTCTATATGTTCTTTGGAAGACCTCTAAGAAAATAAAAATCATGAAATATCAGTCCTTACAAATAGAATAGTTTAAAAAAAATTCAAGAGCTAAAATTGGGTCCAATGGATCCTGATGGTATACCGGATCAAGAGAATTATTCTTAAGATCTTAGGGTATAACTGACTTAAATTCATAAATAGGAGCCCTTGGTGAAAGATCTTGTTTAATTTTTAAATGTACAATATTATTATCTTGAATTAATGATTGTCTATTAATATAAGTTTCTTTTCCATTCATTTTAAGGGCATAAATATATTTGATCTGTTTGATAAAATGTTTATAGCAATAATAATAGCTATTGTTTCCTGGGTCTTTTTTGTACCAGGAAACTTAGCTAAGCCTTCATTTAATCTTTGAATTATAATATCTCCCCTTAACCAAGGATGAAACTCAGGCACCAAGAGATTGAGGAGCTCATTTAGGTTCAGATAGCTAATAAATTAAGCTGAGATTTGAACTTGGGTCTTTCTAATTTCCAAGCTCATGTTCTTTCCACCTTTCTTTTCTTTCTTTCTTTTTTTTTCAAAACACTCGTAAGTGGCTTTATTTACAACACACCAGAGACCTTGCTAAGAGTTTTGCATGTATCATCTCATTTAATCAGCAGAGGAGCCTTGGGAGCTACGTGCTTCCTTATTTGACAGATGAGGAAGCTGAGGCCAGGAGATGTTTCTTGCTGAGGTCACATAGTTGATGAATGACAGAGCCAAGACTTGAACCTGAGTCTGTCTAGAGTTCATGTGCTAAAACCACAAGGCTGCGTTGCTTGAATGGCCTGTGACCATCTGGAAACACAGCCTGTTTATATTTTTATAATCATTTATGTATGTACTTCTTCATATGTAAAATATATCTTTTTATTTTATTTTTTCATGGATAATGTTTTTTAATTTTAATTCAATTAATATATAATGTATTACTGGTTTCAGAGGTATAGGTCTGTAATTCATCAGTCTTATATAATACCCAGTGCTCATTACATCACATAACCTCCTTAATGTCCATCACCGAGTTATCTCATCTCTCCACCTCCCCTCCAGCTACCCTCAGTTTGTTCCCTATGATTTGTCTCCCTCTCTGGTTTCGTCTTGTTTTGTTTTTTCCTCTCTTCCCCTCTGATCCTCTGTTTTGTTTCTTAAATTCCATATATCAGTGAGATCATATGATAATTGTCTTTCTCTGATTGACTTATTTCGCTTAGCATAATACCCTCTAGTTCTATCCATGTCATTTCTATACGGTTGAGCAAAATATATGGCAATGCTACATTTATTCTGCACTCTTAGAGAACAAGTAAATAAATTTTTTAGGCAACATACATAACTCATGGAAGGCCACACATTTGCATTTTTAAAAAATGCAATACAGTAGTTTATATTGAATTGGTTCTGATTTGTTTTATGTATTTTTTAAAAAACCTTATAATCCAATTTTTTGGAATTAGATTAGTTTTAAGTTATAATAGTAACTCTTAATATCTTTGAGCCTTAGCCCTTTTTGAAAATGATGATTGTCTCCTTAGAAAAAAAACACACATATATGAAATTTTGTTTTCAATTTCATAAGTTTCATAGACTCTCTAGAAATTCATGTAAGCTTGATTTAAAGTAACATTTGTTTTGGAGGTACTCTTTTCAAAAGTTTATCAATTGTCTGCTTGATGAATACTATGTTTAAAATGGCAGTTTGACTTCAGACTCATGTCTCTGTGGGCATAAAGTAGTCTCCCACTGTAATATAGATAAACTTTTTAAGAATGATTCATTTTGTCCTTTCCACTAAATTTTTTGAAATTCATTCCTGGGCTTTTTTTGCCTAAGGTTTTTCTATTTTTTCCCTTGAGTAAAGCAACCAGAAGGTATATGGTTGTTTGGAATTTAATTTTTCCCTACGATTTAGACACTTCTGTGCTGTTGCTGGTCATGATGTTGGTGACTGTGCTTTTGCTCTTTTTCTTCCTTTGCTATTTACCTTTTTTTTTTTTTAATGATTATGGCAGAACTGAAGATGTATGTGATGGTTAAGGTAGAGCAAGCTACTCTAGAAAATAGATCAAACATCTAATGGCTCATGTACAACTATAGTTTATTTCTCTCTTTTGTCTGAATGTGTGGGTAGCTCTTCTATTTAGTGATTCTAGATTCTTTCCATCTTCTGGCTTTGCCATCTCTTAAAATCTTACTGTAATCTGCACTCTTCTGGTGGAAGGGGCAGAGCATAAAGAAGGCACACCAACTCTTCTTAAAAGCAATAGCCTTGAAATTGCACAAAGCATTTCCATTTAAATTCTGTTGGCAAGAACTTAGCAACCCCTCAGAGGTAACAGAAGCTGGAAAATATCATCTCTTCATGGATCCAGCTATATTGCTATTACTTTGGGGAAAAAAACTGATTTTTTATAGACCTATGGTAGTTTTTCCACAGTTGCCAAGTGTGAAATCAAATCTTTCTCTCCTCCCACCCCCCCAGGACCCCTCACCACTCCACACACTTTTTTTTTTTCTTGGACAGAGGAGGATAACGGTGACTGCTGTTTTATTTGTGCTTGAGACATTTTCACCCAGAGTTCCATTTTCTGGGGTGTGATATGCTAGAAAGTTTAATATAATCAGTGGGCTGTACCCTAAGTATGAATATATCCTTCAGAAGACTCCAGCCACAATGTGGATTTTGAAATCATACAGACCTTGATTCTGTTAGTTTTTATTTCGTTATTTTCTGTTATCTGATAAAGTTATTTAACTTTTCTGATTCTTGAATTTCTTCCTCTAAAAATTGGAAAAATATAACACTTATTTCTGAGTTGTTGTGAAGATTAAATAAGTCATGTAAAGTAGTGAACACTGTATTTGGTACAAAGAAAATGTCAAGTAATGGTAACTATTATTGTTATTAATAATGATAATTATTAATAATGATGAATGGTAATAGTAATTATTATCATCTTCCTCAACATTTATGTTTAGTTAGCCAGTCACAGTGATCTTATATTCCCAAACCCTTCTTCGATGAAGCTACTCTTTTTCTCTAATGAGTACGGATGGCTTATTTAATCCCTTTAACAGCAGTTGATATTCTTTCCCAGTTGATGTTATTATTCCAAACAGTGCATTTCTGTTTTATTCCTGGTTCCTTTTGCTGCTTTATTATTATTTAAAAAGAAATGTATAAAATGTTGGAATTTTTTTATTAGTCTACATCAAATTTATTCTTTTCCTCTATATTTTTGTATTTGTCTTTCAGAGTCAAAAATTATGTGTTCAAACAAAAGGAGGCAAAGTGATCTGTCTGGGAACAGTTTATGGAAATATAGATATTCATGCATCAGATAAAAGTGTAAGATTGAAATTTTTTTTTATTAGCAATTTTAATTTTGCTTCAAGGTGGCTCACACAGTTTGTAGGTAGGTTCTACAAAATTTGTAGCATAACATTCTCTCCTTTTTAAGGCACTTTAGTTCATTAGTAAATTCAAATTTGAAATTGAAGTGATTAAGTATTACACAACTTAAATTTTAGTTTGTGATGTAATACCTTTGACAGGTATTGATTTATTTGGAATTGATAACATCTTTAAATATTAAATATTTAATTCAAGTTCAGAAGGGATGTTTATGATCATGGATTAAACTTGATCATTGAGTATTACTGCCACGGTTAGGATTAAATTTTTTTTATGTCTTAGATTTATTTGAGCATTTTTCCAAGACCTGTTTACTTTTTCTTTGGACAGTTGAAGGTTGAATTTCAAAACTCAACTTTCTTCAGTATTTTCCACAAGGTGGCACCATTAGATAGCATTGCTACTCTCCAAAAGCTTTTATTATCCGTATAGATTTTGGTTGCTATGATATAGTTTGTATTTTTTATTTTATTTATTTTATTTTTTATTTTTTTAAAGATTTTATTTATTTCACAGAGAGAGACAGCGAGAGAGGGAACACAAGCAGGGGGAGTGAGAGAGGGAGAAGCAGGCTTCCCCCCGATCAGGGAGCCCGATGTGTGGCTCGATCCCAGGACCCTGGGATCATGACCTGAGCCGAAGGCAGACACTTAACGACTGAGCCACCCAGGCGCCCCGAGATAGTTTGTATTTTTTAATTAACTTTTGTTGCTTTCTGTGATTTAGCATAGTATTAGGAATATAGTTATAATTTTGAAGTATAAATTGTCGCAGTTTTTTTAACATTATGGATAATGTTTTAAATCTTTGAGAAAGACCTAGTTCACCTTTTATTTTACACTTACACAATTTACAAGAATCTTTCATTATAAATTTAGATTCTCTACTGAGCTTTATTCTCAGGTAATTGTTGAGGATGAGTTATAAGTATATCTTGTAGGTAGATTATTATTATTATTTTTTAAGATTTTATTATTTGAGAGAGAATGAGAGAGAGAGAGCACGAGAGGGGGGAGGGTCAGAGGGAGAAGCAGACTCCCTGCTGCTGAGCAGGGAGCCCGATGCGGGACTCGATCCCGGGATTCCAGGATCATGACCTGAGCCGAAGGCAGTCGCTCAACCAACTGAGCCACCCAGGCACCCTTGTAGGTAGATTATTGTTGGCATGATTAAACAAGGTAGATTATAACAGTAATTGTTTCTACTATTGTCACTTTTATTTTCCATCACCTTTGTCTTAGAACCTGTGGGAGACTTTTAAGCCCAAACATTTAAATTCATCCTTTATATTAGACTAGGAAAGTATTGAAAGATACTGCCTGGCCTACCTGGCAGCTCTCTTAAGATGGCATTTAGTTTCACCCCTCAGATTGCTGTGGGCTTAGAAATGCAAAAGGGAAATTGGACAACTTTGCAGCTCCTTCAAACTGTCCTTTAAATGATGGCTTATGTTAATTGAAATGATCTAAGTTACCAGAATATTACATATTGACATTCAAATAAACATTTCAAAGGAAAATTTAAATCGTCTCTTAATTATTTGCTATTTTGAACATTTTGGCCACCTTTTCCACTCATTAAGTTATTTATTTGTTCCAACTTACATGGTTTATTGAATATTCATTTATTCCTACTTTCTATTATACTATTTTGTTTCTTTCCTGATTGAGTTTTGTGTTTTATTAAAGAATTAATCTGGATATTTATTTCTATTTATATTATATATAGTGTTCATATTTAAAACTTAGATTTCTAAGTTCTGGGGTTTTATATAAAATAAATGCTTATGATATATGTGAACTCTTAATACACAGCTTTCACAGAGGTGTGCTATAGATACTTGAGAGGTAGCGTAATGAATTGGTTAAGAGCACAGAACTGAGAACCAGACTACCTGGGTTCAAATCGGGCTCAGCCACTTAAGCTATTTATTTATTTATTCACTCATTCATTCATTCATTTATTATTTTAATCTTTTAAATTTTTTTAAAGATTTTATTTATTATTTCTTTGAGAGAGGGAGAGCACACAAGCAGGGAGAAGGTGAAGCAGCCTTCCCACTGAGCAGGGAGCCCGAAGCTGGGCTCCATCCCAGGGTCCTGGGATCATGGTCTGAGCCAAAGGCAAAGGCAGATGCTTAACCAAATGAGCCACCCAGGCACCCCTCACTTAAGCTTTTTAACTTCAGACAAGTTGCTTAACCTCTGTGTGCCTTGGTTTTCTGGAAAATGGAATAATAGTAATGGACTTAACTCAGAGAGGGTTATGAGGATTAAATCACAATACAGATTAAGTACTTAAAACAATATCTGGCACATAGTTAACTCTAATACAGTGTTTACTATAATGATGATAAAGGTAAATGAAACACAGGAAAGATGACTAGTCCTAGATCTGCCAGTTAACTTTACTGAGACTCGTTCCATTATTCATAAAATAAAGTTGGTATTGTTTCTTATTCCTACTCAGCAAGATTGTGAGAATCAAATGAGTACTGTAAACATTTAACAGCATTTTTAATATGTCATTTTAAATGGAGTGGCTGTTTTAAATAGTATCATTAATTTTAGTATCCTGTTTGGTACAGAGAAGTTAGAAATTCATTTCCTCTGATGTTTGGATGAACTGATGACATAGTTGTCAGTTGACCTCTCTTAGTTTGGGCTACAAAGCCACAGTGCTTCCTTAAAGTGTGATTTTCATTATATATAATGTTGATTTATAATAACTAAACTTATGAAAAATTTTCCTTCTTGTGTAGAAAAGAAAATTAATTTATAGTAATATCTCTATCAAGAAGGTATTAATTTTTGGATCTACTTTTTGATCTTTCTTTAAATAGCTACTTCTGTTAATAAGCAAGCTATACAGTTTAATCCAAAAAGTCTGTTTATGACTATTTGCCTCATTAGCATTAATAACTATAAGCAAGAGCCTCAGCATTTTGCTATAAACTATGGTGTCCTAGCTTTAATTTTTCTAGTTAGTATCTGACATAGTGCATTATATGTGGTACTCAGTGAATTTTGAATTTCTTTGAAATTAATTTTATGGAATGATTGGCTAAAATAACTATATTATTGTAGTGGGGAAGGTGTACTTTCACTTGCTTTCATTTGCTTTGGTGCAGCAGGGGAGGATATTTTTCTAGTTTTCTACGAGGTAAAATATTTAGTATTTAATGAAAAAAGTAAATCCTTGACCGTTTCCAGATACTCATACAAAGTCTCTTAAACGCCTTATTTGCTTTTGGGGAGAATCTAATCAAAAGTGCCGCTTTGCCAATTTAATCAACTTTCAAATATTCTTTCAATATGTATCTTTTTTTATCCCCTAAACCAGCCTCATTATCTATAAAAAGCTAGAGTTGTTGTCTGCTTAATGGAAATGCTTGGTGAGTTTGAAACCATGCATAAAGCAGCTTTTCGTGAAGAAACTTTGTAGGTAAAAGACAAATTTTTTCAGGAATTTTACATCTGTACTGTAACACCGAGGAATGCAAAACATTTGTATTCTCACAAATTTGAATGAATGTAGGTAAAATATCTCTTTTTGACTGATTTATTGAAACTAAATGTAAAGTAAAAATTCCTATGAATCCATAATCAGCTTAAACGAAACTGTAGATAAGAAGCAACTAGGTGTATATTATGTGCTTAATAAAAGTTTAAAAAGTTACATACTTCAAATCCAGAGGGCGAAGTCATTCTAATTTGCTTCCCAGTGGAACCTCTGAGTGCTTTTCTTTCTCTTTTTTTGTACTTCTAAATTTTAGTATTCTTGAAACTCAGTTCTTATTAAACAGTATTTTGAATTTTTAACAGTTTTTGAAGCACGTATTAGGAATGAATGACACTGGTGTTGTGCTGATGATGTATTGAAAAACAATGATCTCTCTTTAAACCTGGGCAATGATCTTTCTTTATCCTGGGCAAAACTGTAACATGCCTTCCTGGTGATTCGGTTTTTATGTCAACAATTTTATATAAACACTCACTTGATGCTTATAAAACATGTTTAAAATTTGATAGAGATGATTTGGAATCCTTAAGTAGATATCTTCATTTTACATTGTGCTCAATATTTGAAACAAATTCATGCTAAATTTTGATAGGGAAGCTTAGGAATATATACAAAATTCTTTTCATTTTGTTCAATAGAAACCTATTTTATTATTAGATTTAATGTGGAAAAATTGTAGAAATAATAGTGCATTCACTATATTAAGAGATGACAGGAGAAAATCTGATAGCCCCCCCCAAAAAAACAGATAAAATTAAAAACCCATTTATAATTTCAATTGTAACAACAAAACAAATTTGAAATAAAAGGGATATGATACAGAGGATCTAAAGGATATCCGTAGCAAACATCTTAGTGATGATGCTATATTGTAAGTTTTCCCTCTGAGAACAGGAATAAGATTAGGTTGCTTACTATCTCATTGCTTTTGTTCACTGTTGAATTGGAGGCCTGAGCCAGATAGTTAGGCCGGACAGAGCAGGAAAAACTATTAATATAAGGATTGGGAAGGAAATAATAAAACTGTCACTTGCAGGCAATACAAGTTACGCATGTAGAAAAGCTTTCTTAAATTCAGGTAAATTATTAGAGTTAGTGAATGAGTTTAGTGAAGTTGTTGGATTTAAGATCAAATACAAAAGCCAATTAAGATAAAATGAAGTTTAAAAAAAGAGTTCTTTTATAATAGCATTTAGAAAATACCAAATAGGAATAAATGTAACAAAAGCTGAAGAATTCTATATAGAAAATATAAAACATTATTAAGAGAAATTAAAGAAGCTCTAAATAAACGAATTTAATGGGTCTGTTCCATATTCCACAGACAATACACTATTGCTCACAGGGAGCCAGGGAATTAAAGTCAGTAAAGTGATTGTGCACTGGGTAGTAACTTTTTAGGTAGTTGCCCACTAAATCTGTAGGTACCATTTTGGGTTTTTACCAGTCTCTTTTATAATGAACTTTTTTTTATTATGTTATGTTAATCATACATTACATCATTAGTTTTTGATGTAGTGTTCCACGATTCATTGTTTGTGTATAACACCCAGTGCTCCATTCAGTACGTGCCCTCTTTAATACCCATCACCAGGCTAACCCATCCCCCCACCCCCCTCCCCTCTAGAACCCTCAGTTTGTTTCTCAGAGTCCATAGTCTCTCATGGTTCATCTCCCCCTCCGATTTCCCCCCCTTCATTTTTCCCTTCCTGCTATCTTTTTTTTTTTTTTTAACATATAATGTATTATTTGTTTCAGAGGTACAGGTCTGTGATTCAGCAGTCTTACACAATTCACAGCGCTCACCATAGCACATATAATGAACTGATTTTGAGTTTTTCTCCTAATAGACTGTGACCATAGATAAACTGCAAGGAAGTACTGTTAATATAACTGCTGAACATGGTTTGCTGGAAGCCAAGTATCTTTATACAGAATCGTCATTTCTATCTTCTGCTGCTGGAGATATTACATTAGGAAGTGTTCATGGTAAGATGACGAAGCCTAATACATCTCCATTCCATATAACATAAATTTCTGATTTCTCTGTAGTCAAAGAAGGATCTGCCCTCTAAATAATTAATGGCAGACTAATCATCTTTTTTAAAAAACTTAAAGTGACTCATAAGCTATTTAATTTTATTTTGGCGAGAAATTAAATATGCTGTTATATTTGAAGGTAATAGTAATTGTGATTTTTTAATGCATTTCCTTTCGTTATTTATTTATTTATTTATTTATTTATTTCTCAGCTAGGCCTTGAATAGTTCTGGTAATTTGTAACTCTTCATATTTTAATAATGACTTTTATCTAGCATTGCATTTCTGTTAATGACAGTGAAAAGTACTGTACTTAATATATTGAGTAGCTTTTAGTAGAAAAGCAATTCCTTACCAAGTCAGATGTTGATTAACACCTATGATAAGAATAGCACTGTTCTTGGGCGCCTGGGTGGCTCAGTTGGTTGGGCGACTGCCTTCGGCTCAGGTCATGATCCTGGAGTCCCAGGATCGAGTCCCGCATCAGGCTCCCTGCTCAGGGTGGGGGTCTGCTTCTCCCTCTCCTGCTCCCCCCTCTTGTGCTCTCTCTCTCTCAAATAAATAAAATCTTTAAAAAAAAAAAGAATAGCACTGTTCTTTGCAGTGTTTTATACCATATTTACACTAAATCCATTAATGTTTAATTTCTTTTGCTTTCTTTTAAGTTAGGTAAGAATTGAATTTGGTACAGTTTTCCATTAATAGCTTACATGATAGTAAACAGATGCACTTTTTTGAAGTAATCCTTAACAAAACTCTAGGTCTCTTGATTTTGATTACTTAAAGTGCTGAAATGGAAAACAAGTTGCTAGGGATAAAAGAATTCATTCCTTAGCCTTTGTAAAGCCTTTTGTATTTACTGACCTTTAATATGAAGTCAGATACCTTTCCTTGGGCGGTTTAAATTTGGGTCAGACCTAGATCCTCTTTGGGCTGTAGTCTCAGGTTGGGTTTCTTGAAAGCAGACTCTAAAATGGAAATCAGAGTGCAGCACATTTACTAGGAGGTGTCTTGGGACCAACGCCATACAAAGGAAGGAAGCCAAATTTTCACTGGAGAAGTTGGACTGTGATGCAGCCTTAGTAACCCCAAGGGGAGAGCTCTGAAGCTGGGATCATCCTCAGAATTGTCTCAAGTCGAGGTGAGGAAAGCTGGACCTTTATATCCCCAATCGTTAGATGCAAGATGCCCCAGAAAGGAGTATGATCTTAGGCCAAGATGACTCTTTTCAGCTGAGGCAATTCCCTAAGAGGGCTGACAGCTGAGGGCTGTCTACCAGCAGTACTCCCATGAGCTAGGAAAATAAGCCCTCAGGTATGGAGAAGTTCTAGATGATGAATTACAGCATTCACTGCAGTTATAGTTATTGATTCATTCAACACATATATTGATCACCTACTGTGTGCCAGATTTTCAGACACCAAGGATACATAGTTGGGCAGGAGGTGATCCCTATCCTTAAAGAATTCGTTGTCTTCATTATTTGTAATACTGGTACAGCAATGAGAAGAAGTAAGGGAAGGGAAAATTTGATCCATTTGCCACTGTTGAAAAGCTTCCCTGTTATTCAACCCTGCTTTCCCCATCTGGTCTTTGGCCCACACTCTGCTTTGATTTTTCTGTAGTAGTAAGTTTGTAAAAGAGAGGTCCATAAGAAACCCTCCTCATTTCTTCGTCACACCAGTGCCTGCCTACTTTTTAATAACCCTTCAGACAAGCCTAAGTTTCTTGCCTCTACCATGCACCCCTATTTCCATCCTTGTCCTAAGGGTGTCCTGATGACATCCTTATCATTATGTGAACATGCTGCTGGAGTTTGGAGGTGGGATGGGTACAGAAGACTAGGTAATGTTTTAGCCCTACAGCCTAGTAGGTGAGAAGATCAGAGTCAGGGCTAGTGAAAGAAAGTCCCTATGTTCTAGCTACAGGGATTTTAGTAAGGAGAGGTATCTTCCAGGGATCATCCCAAGCTGGAACTTTGAATATATATTGCAGTGAATTCTTTGTTCTAAATGGTGATGGTCATCAAACATAAATTATATTTTGGCTATATTTAAACAAGCTGGCTTGGGAATCTTAAAACTTGTTTTATGGGGAAATATGTCACTACCTCTAAACATCTGACTTATAGAAAACAGATTTGGGAAATATATGCATTCTAAGACCTGCCTGTCCAGGATTTATTTAGTTTGGCTTCCTTTTTCTTAAGCAAGGCTTAAGCTGATTTTTTTTTTCAAGTAGATTTTTTTTAACCCAACATACAGATGTTGTAAAAAGCCATTTTTTTTAACCACAAATATGATGGCAATACCTGTCTTTTGATGGATTTACTAAGTATATGAGTTTGGGGTTTTGGTATTGGTAGGTGGATGGTTTGAAAGCAAGTTGAAAGCAAACATGTATTGAGGGCCTCAGTGGGCTAGCCCCTTTTAATTAATGGACAATTAGCTGTTTACAAAAGAAGAAACAAAACTTAAAAATGTCTAATTGCTTGCTCTCAATTACAAGTTAATTAGTGGAGGAGCAAGGATTTGTCCAGATTTCTTGACCTTCCAGGAGATGTTTTAAACAGTGTTCAAAAAATCTGTGTAATGGCCAGGGTGAACCCAAATACCATCATTGCTTTGAGGGCTTCCTGGCATGCTCTAGAGATGTTTTCTCTAGGCAGACAGTGCTACAGCACAGATGAACTGCTTCAGCTATGTTCTATATTGTAAACATCAGTTTCAGTAATACTCGTTATGCCTTATGACATCTGGTAAAAAATGTGGATCTTCTGTATAGTGTTCAGGTTCAGCTTAGCTCCATGGAGATATTTAGATACTGAGTTCATTCCATAAAAGTGCTGCTGCTATCTTCAGTGTATGGTTTCTAAGGTTTCTATGAAAGGAAGAGAGAGCATGAAGTTTATATCTTATTTATATTTTCTATTTGTTTATATACCCTGATGGCAAACCAATACCCAACATAATGCTAAGTACTTAGAGGATGCCCAGTAAAAGGGATAATGAAAGCAGTAATATGTCTTTTCTGACCTTCCAAATTGACTCCTATGTGTAGAAAAGAAAAAATCTATCCAAATGTTTTTCCAAATGGAATTTTTAAGCATGGTTAACTATATTTTCTAGGTAAGAAAATGTGTAAAGCTAATTGACTGGTAATATTTACTATTTGTAAGGTTGGTTGAATCATACCTATTAAGTATGTGTGCCTTCTAATGTAAAAGAAACTAGTTTATTCATGATCCAACAAATATTCTCTACTGTTCTGGCACTATCAATCTAATAGGAGAATAGGTAGTTGGATAGTTTGTGTTTAGGTATAAAATTTTGTAACAGTTTATTCTCTTGATTTTCTTCTAAATTATCAAAAATTAGATTCTATGTGAATTACATTTTATTATATTCTGCTATTTGAATATTTATTTTGAAAGAATTCTATACATGTATATGTAAGATATACATACACATATATGTATTCTACTAAATATGTTTTTAAAATATAAATATATGTAGTCTCCTGACTCTTTAGAGAGAAACAGAAGGTTCCTTGAAATGGTTTGCTGGGGTTAGTTTTTATTTATAATATAATTTAAACAATTAATGAGTTTTTAGTATGTAGGCATACTCATGACCGTTGTTTTAGCATTTTATATTCAACTTATGTTATTATTTGGAATAAGTGATTAATAAAAGTGCACTTTATTGCCTTTTTTTTTTTTAAAGATTTTGTTTATTTGACAGAGAATGACACAGCGAGAGAGGGAATATAAGCGGGAAGGGTGGGAGAGGGAGAAGCAGGCTTCCCGCCGAGCAGGGAGCCCGACGCGGGGCTCGATCCCAGGACCCTGGGATCATGACCTGAGACGAAGGCAGACGCTTAATGACTGAGCCACCCAGGTGCCCAAAAGTGCACTTTAAATATTTAGATTCCCCATGTAACTTAGGGTCTTATGCTAGGTTCTTTGGGAATATATGTTGATAAATAAATTGCGGAGTATTAGTTCTCTCATTTTCTCTGTGCTTTACTACTTTGGATTTTAGAAACTCACAGAAATAAAAGTTCCATTAGCTATACAAGCATAGTTGATAACTTTGATATCAGAATTTCATAAATAAATTCCCATTTTGCTTTAAGAAATGACATGTAGTCACTGATGAATTTGTACATCTGCCATGTGAATTTAGGAATTCAGAAATAATATAAAATTTCAAAAGAAAAGCTTTTATTGGATTAAATAGAACTTTTCATGAAGTTCATGAAAATGCTTTGTTTAAATTCTAGGATTTATTGTTAAGTCTGTTGTAAAGTTTTGGTTTGATTATCATTTTGACATATGATAATGTTATGTTAATGTTGACTCTGGACACTTCAAACTTTTTTATATAAATACTAGAAAGGAATTACTGCTTGCTTTGTGGTACAGACAGCATAAATTTTTTTTTCAGGATTTAGACATGTGATACATGCAGTATTTGGACTCAGCTCCTTAGATGGACTTGGCTCTATCTGTAAAGGTGATGCTGCCATTTTCATTTTGTGGCTTCCAAGCTTCCACCAAAGGAAGAGAGATCAGAGGTTGATGGGAAAAATTTCAGAAACTAAGCTGATTCTGCTATATATTTTTAGCCAGAATATTTTATTTTATTTTAGATTTATTTATTCAAGAGAGAGAGAAAGCATGTGTGTACACACAGGGTTGAGGGGCGAGGGGCAGAGGGAGAGGGAAAGAGAGTCTCAAGCAGACTACCCACTGAGTGCGGAGCCTGAGGCAGGGTCAATCTCACAACCCTGAGATCATCACCTGAGCCGAAATCAAGGGTTGGATGCCCAACCAACTGTGCCACCCAGGTGTCCCTAGCCAGAATATTTTAAATGACTATCAAACCGCAAGAGGCTGAGATTGAGAATTTAGCAGTATTCTAAGGCAGGAAAAAGCACACAAATAT